CATTGTTGAACATGATTGAAGCAGCCAAAATTCTTCTTAGTCATCGGGAGGCGCAAAATCGGCCTTTGCATCATTATCAACGTGCAGTGATCCACGATAAGCATCCCGTGATGATGATTTCCGAAATTCCCTGGGTCGTTCTTGCCAGACATACTCTGACGAGAGCGGTGATTGCCACAAGCCTCAATTGATCTTTAAATCAAGATTGCTGACTTCACTGACAACTAGTTCTTCAACAGAACGGACTCACATTGATCTCAGCTAACAAGTAGATCTGGTCAAAGCGCCTTTCGCCGCGAACGGATCTTGACTCACCGCCGTTATCGGTCTTCACTACAGTCACAACCCTTCTGTAAGACAGCACGAAACCAAGTCACTCCAGGACCACTAGGTCAAACATCCTTTCGTGAGACAGCCAAAACCAGAGTATTCAAGGACAACCAGCTCACACCGCCAACATGGTCAACCGCCTCGCCAACAAAGTCGCCGTCATCACCGGCGCTGCCGGCGGCATCGGCCTCGAAACCACCATCCTCTTCGTCCGCGAGAACGCTAGCGTCCTCATGCTCGACATCAGTGAGCCAGCCCTCGAAAAAGCACTCTCAAAAGTCTACGAGCTCTGCCCAGAAGCCAAAACTTCCAAACAATTCATCAAGACCATGAAGTGCGACGTCTCAAAGGAAGCCGACATCAAAAACTGCATCGAGAGCCTCGACTTAGCAGGCGGAATCGACATCATGTTCAACAATGCCGGCATCATGCACTCCGAGGACGACGACGCAATCTCCACATCCGAGAAGATCTGGGATCTGACTCAAGCTATCAACGTCAAGGGTGTCTGGTTCGGATGCAAGCACGCTGTACTTTCCATGAGACGGCACAAGAAGACCAAGGGCAGTATCATCAACACTGCTTCTATGGTCGCATTGGTGGGCGCTGCAACTCCTCAACTCGCTTACACAGCTAGCAAGGGTGCTGTATTGGCACTGACACGAGAACTTGCCATGGTTCACGCACGTGAGAACATCAGATTCAACTCTCTTTGTCCTGGTCCGCTCAACACACCCATGCTGCAGGACTGGCTTGGAGATGATGTGCAGAAGCGATATAGGCGAGAGGTACACTTCCCCATGGGTCGATTCGGCGAGGCTATCGAGCAGGCAAATGCTGTGGTGTTCCTGGCTAGCGACGAGAGCTCCTTCGTCAATGCGGCTGACTTCGTGGTCGATGGTGGTATGACGAAGGCATATGTTACTGCTGAGGGACCCGCGACTGCTGCGCCAAAGAACAATGTGGTCTAGATACAGGGCACTGGGTACATGCAGCATTTGAGCGAATTAGTAGCAGGTTGAGCGAAGGTCGGGCAATCTTCAAGATACAAGCAAGCAAGCGATTGATCATGAAAGGCATGTGATAGACATGAATAGAGATACGAAGTATTTCCATCTACCTCAGTAGCCACTATGCGCGTGCTTCACGAAGGACATTCTGTCTTCACCAGACCGAACTATCACAACCTTGCACTCGTGATCCACGGGGCACTTAGGAGACCTGTACTGTAGCATGCCGACGTTCTGCATCTCCGTCCTGTCCGTCCATCTGACTTAGGTCGAGATACTAGTACGCCACATCCCGCGACGACCCATTCAGACCGTCCTGCAGACATCATCTGTCAGCTTCGATCTCCCACCCGTCACTTCCTCACCCTTCAGTCTAACGCATGACCTAATACCACAAGCGGTGCGCTACCCTCGTTCCCCCTCACAATCTCAGTCAGGCCTTCCCTCAGAGAAGAACGTAAAGAATCTGTGCTGTGGGTGAGATGAGGGCCACAGTAACTGGAAGACAATTCATCACGGCCGATAGACAAGATAAAGTGTCCAAGACCATATAACTCGTGCTACAGATCGTCTAGGATCACGATCCGCAAGCTGCTATGTAAGCTGCCGCATCTTCATTCATCAGCTGGCGCCTCTATCTTTATGTAGCCTTTCGTGTAGATCGTGTGTTTGGTGCGGCATAGAGCCGGTCACTTTCTATCCTGAAACATAGCCTTGCCTTGTAAATTATCTCCGGTTCCTGGAGTTTCCGTTCTCGGTGTATGAGCAATTCACGGTCTCCGGTCGTGGGCTTTTGCAGGTTTCTCTTCTGTCCTCGCTGTAGGCCGTCTCGTTCTTTTGCCAGAGGCGTAGTCGAACGTATCGAAGACATTGTTTGACGCGGATCTTGACCTTTGTCGAGATAGATCTCCATCGTCAGACGTTGGACATTAGCTTGAACATGGTTGGTGTCAATGCCCGTCGCTGTTTGTGTCCGAAAATGCGCATAATTATTCTATGTTGGCGTATTCGCCGGCACATCTGGGGTACTCGATTAATGAACATCGAGTCTGCGATTTGCCTGATGTAATTACAGTGCAACAACGTCCTTCAACGAAGACGCCCGTTGCCACCATTCAGCCTGCTGCATCTTGACCTACTGTTACACCTTCACCGTCGGTCCGCTCCTTCTTATCATGCTTCAGCCCAAGTAATCCATGAATGTGTTGCCAACCCCTGTCAGAAAGACCGCCCGGCAGCCGAGATTTGCCCTGCACTACCTTCCTCAGCTGGTCCCTAGGAGCTTTGGCAGCATCAAACAGACAGTCGCGCCCGCCGAGGTAACGCCATAACTGCCAGAGCTCGTGTGCGAGCGGACGACTGCCTGGAGAGACTGATTTGATGACGATGACATGGTTGAGATTGGCCGGGTTCACGTCGGCTATGTGTATGTGTTGCTGGTGACGATGAAGAATTCTGCTAAGAATAGTATCGAAATTGGGACCTAGCAGTGCTGGTAGATTGAAGAGGGGTAGACGGTAGGTCCCTTCAAGTGTGATCATGGGCGGGATGTACTTGCTATGCTCGAGTTCGGATTGGCTCATATCAACAGCATCCGAGGAGAAAGTAGAGGATGTATTCAAGTAGGGTAGAGCGGTAAGAGCCGTTTCGGGCGTGCCGAGGTGGAGAGCGATACTGCCTGGTACCCAGACACGAGGGTCGTCCTTGTCAGGCTTAGATATACCCTGCTGTGTCTCTTCTTGTCTATACTGCCTATCGGCTGGCTCTTGCTCGATTTCTGATGGTTGAACGGCGATAGGCGGACGTGGATCGTTTTGGTTCCCTTGCCGCTCTGCTGTACCTGTTAAAGCATGTGCTGATTCTATGTCCCCCATATCGTTCCAGAACTCCCTGGTAATGGCTTCCTTCCGCGCAGGATCGTTGGTAGGTAGCACAAGGCCTAGATCTGACCATTCAAACGTGTAAAACAACTTCCGCTGTTTATCAACCAATTGATCCTGCTTTCGAAATATATCGTCAAACGCTAACAAGACCCTCTGGCGCATTATATTCGAGGTTCTTCCGACGAGGTCCGGCTGCCACTGAAGCTTTGACGTGTCGAAAGGCTGTTCCGGTCTCCCAAACACATCGTCGTTAGTCTCGCCTTGCTTTTCTCGCAGATTCCAATATTCCTTCGAAGCGGTCTGGTAGGCTCTTATTTTCTGCGCTCTCTCTAGCCACCGCCCAGGGAAGAGTCGTTTAACTATGTTTCCTTTCTTCGATCGTGTAGTCTGGGCTCTTATGAACGTGTCTGTGAGCTCTTCCAACATTACACGATATGGCAGAATGCGAATCTTCTCTCCTGGGGTGATGCTTTTGCGCCCTCTCTTTAGCTCTCGGTCAAAAGCTTCCAGATCTGCAAGCTCAGCCGGGGTCATATAGGTTTCCTTGTCCACGGGATTGACCACAGGGCTGAGATCCAATAATAATGCAGCTGGAAGTCGGGTTCTGGATGCTGCATCGAGGCGCATGGATCCAGCTAGCATTGCAGCCCACGGATTGTTCGCCAACTTCTCCCTTTCAGCGGCCGTCGGCTGACGTTTGCGCGTAACCCTGCGCGCACGCTTTTCGACCGGCGACAACGGCAAGTCTATCCAGTTGTCAGGCTGCGGTTGCGCTGCAGCATTATCTTCGCTTTTTTTCGACCGCAGCTGAGACCTCTCCTTCAATTGTGTTGACATCTCATCCAGCGACTGCGCCAGAGATCGTAAGTCGCGCGGCCCTCGAGACCTGCCTGCGGTGGAAACCCTCCCTTCGTGAGACCCATTGGGTTTGCTGATGAGGCGGATGAGGCGTTTTTGAGCTATTACTTTTCGCGCCAGGTTGTGCTGTGGCTTCGAAGCTGTCTGTCCATAGCTGCCCTCCTCAGGTTCTACATGTGCAGGTTCTTCTTTACCCTCAGGGACTCCTTGAGCTCCATTGGATCTTGCAGACGAGGCATGATAATGTCGTTCCGAGCTGGGTTGCCGGCGCCGGGGCTCGTGAAGTGTCTTCGGGTGTAGAAATGGCAGATGTGTCCCTGACACACTCTGAGCATCCTCGAGCAGCCGTCGGAAGGTGACATACCTCCATGCTGAGTATGACTGGCAACTTGCTGCTTTTTCGAGCATGTCGCAGATACTCAAAGATGCCGACTGGTCGCAGACGCGATACCAGACGTGCTCCCGAGAACAAAATTGGAGAAGCCTCTTTCCGGAGCACGTGTTTCAGCTTAAGGGGTTGTCTCCTTTAAATCTGCTTTGAGATTCGTGCCATGATATTTGTCACTGTCTACCACCCGCAACGTCCCTGCTATCTACTCGGCAGTCTTGCTGTAGGGAAGATGCTTGTTTCCCGCAGACTATAGAAGGTTCGCATGATTGGGACTTGTCCATCTACCTTCGAGCCCCACGGAGTGCTTCAAAAGGATCGCGAAACTGCTACGAAAATCTGCTGGACCCGGTTTTATGCTGCCTGATGATGACTTCTATTTTCTCCAAGGGCACAATCAGCAGTGAGCAAAGACCGACCGATGATTCATGTCCGTCAAGCCGTGGTCATTCTGATATTCATATTTTTTACTGCCAAAATCTTGGCCCATAAAGGGCACACAGACCGCCACGAGTTCACAAGAGCTCTGCTGCCCGCGTGGCACAATTGGTCAGCGCGTGAGACTTTTAGAGCAATTCTAGGCATCTCAAGGTTGAGAGTTCGAGCCTCTCCGCGGGCGAAGTTGTTTTTGAATGTTTTTTTGATCCTTTACCTAGAAGGTCTGAGTGCTTTTCAGTGGTAGGTTACCGTCCTCCAGAGAATAATCTGCGCTAGTTTAAGCTTCTGTCTATCTCGTGCCAGGTACAATCAGGTACGAACCGTGACTTGACAAGAAATTACCAGGACAGCAAGAGGACCACGGGAGCCATGCTCGGTCTGGTTCTGAAGTCTATGTTGAGTGATAACTTACACGAGAACATAGACAGGAATGGTGCGAGGTCCGGTGATATGAGGCTTAAGAGCTCTTTCACATGAGCCTCGAGCTGACGATTTGTTACAACTTTGATATCGAGTCTCCCGCCCACTCACCAGGTCTATGCGAGTTGATTCATGCTCCCTCCGTCATAAGCAGTGCACCTTGGTCCATATACCGCTTTATCTGCGAGGGATTATTTTTCGAAACAGGCGGTAGACATCTTACAGCACCGCAGCGATTACGAAGATGTCCGAGACAGAGAACGTTCTTACACCCTCTCACTCATTAACCGCTTCAGATGGCGCACCATGGCAAATTGCGTGCTCACAAAGCGAGGTCAAGGCGCCTTTGACTCAATTCCTTGAAGTCTCCAACCTGCTCCTCGAACAAGTTCAGCTGAACTCTACGCACCTCTTTCGAGCTGATATCCTGCGAGATACTTCAGGCAAGCTCGAGACGTTGGCGGAAAAGGAGGCAAGAAGTCAGTGTATCTCGCGCAATGTCAAGTCAGATGCGCCTGCCGGTGTCGTCGACGACGTTGCTACTGCCGAACAAGCCGTTCCACCTCAATTCGAGGGCTTCGACCTTCACAGAACCATTGTGCGACGCCTCATCCCACGAAAACCTCAACTCGACAAGCCACTTGAGCAATCATGTTTCATCTATTACAGCAACACATCAGAAACCAGCAGCACTCAGAAAGACGCACTAGTCGTCTACATCCCCCACTGCACCTCCTCAGACGCCATGCCATGGTACCACCCCAAAGTCCGTGGCCTAGCCTATCTCTACAGCAGTATCACTCCTCCCTCGAGCACCATCACCGCAACCCTCTCAATACACTACCTCCCCTTCCCAGACACACCCATTCCTCTCCCCGACCGCCTAACCCGAACATTCCAATCCCTCCTCAAAACCATAATCCGTCTCCTCAAACTCCCCTCGAAAAGCCACCAACACCCCACCCCACCCCACCTCAACGGCGCCAATACCACCAGCACTCCAAGCGACATATCAACCCACCCCCTAACCCCCTCCACCCTAAAAGACACAATCCTCCCCCAACACACCGTCCAAAACACCTACACCCTTCTCAAACAACGCTATGCCGCCTCCCTAATCTCCCACTGGATCGAGAAGACTGAGCCCAGCAAGCACGTCTTCGAGGATCTGAGTATCGCGGCGTTCCTAATTGAGTTGTGGGGCGGGATGTACGGTTCTAAAGTCAGGTTCAATGAGATTGCGGGCTTCGTCGATATAGCATGTGGGAATGGTGTGCTCGTTTACATCCTGCGAAAGGAGGGCTGGAGGGGCTGGGGGTTTGATGCGCGGAGACGGAGGACGTGGGATGTGCTTTTTGGGGAGGAGATGGAGGGGTGTTTACAGGAGAGGGTGTGTGTCCCAAGGCCGTTTTTGGGTGCTATTGGGGTTGGAGAGGTTGATGGGGTGGATGTACACGATGGGGTCTTCGAACGGGGGACGTTCATCGTCTCGAATCATGCGGATGAATTGACGTGTTGGACGCCGATTTTGGCTGCGTTGTCGGGTGGGGAGGGGTCGTTGCCGTTTTTGGCGATTCCATGTTGTAGTCATGGGCTTGATGGGGGGAGGAAGCGGTATACGTTGAAGGAGGTTGCAGAGTCGGTAAGAGATACAAGTGCTCGCACGAATAGTGCCGGCGAGGACGGTGTAGAAGAGGAAGAAGCGCAATCTGCAACGGGCGACCTCAAGGCTATGCGTGCCGCGAAACAGAAAGCGAGCGTCCATGGTGATGATAAGTCGATGTATGCGTGTTTGACGAGAATGACTGCGGCGTTGGCGCAGGAGTTGGGTATTGATGTTGAGCTTACGTTGATGCGGATACCGAGTACGAGGAATATTGGCGTTGTTGGAAATAGGAGGAGGGTTATGGAGTTTGAGAATGGGGAGCATGAACTGAAGAATGGTGTGAATGGGCTGGCGCTGGAGGATCATGCTGGCGAGGTGGAGCAGAAGATACGGGATTTACTTGTGCGGGAGTGTGTTAGTACGGGTGGTGTAGAAGCTTCAGCACGAACCTGGATTGAAAAGGCCAAGAAGCTTCAGGGAGGACAGGGGAGGGGGAAGGTCAATTTGAAAGCACATGTTGGCTGAGAATATTTCATTGACTGCTCACGCCTTGTGCATTTCACCAAACCATTCTCGTATCCCTTGGTCGACGACCTCGCGGCATGCTCGAAGCTGCCTATAACGCCAGATGGCAATCGAGGAACACGTCGGTTTCATTATCGCGTTGCACACCGTCTCCGGTTTCGCTGAAGGGGGACCCAAGACCTTCCGACGCCTGCTATTAGGCTTGCGGTCACAGTTCACCGGCGACCATGCAATGACACGATGGCTTGGGTGTGGCAGGAGTGCATCTCTTCAGGAAAGAGCTGGAAATCCGAGAGAAAGAGCCCGAGGAACAAGATAGAGCGTACGCAGCAAGCGAGACAACGACAGTCTTGTAGATGCCGCTCACAGAAACGGAATTGAGGGTTAGTGGGAAGCCTGAATCTTGGTAGGCTACAGCTGAGGTCAACGTCCTCAGTACAAGGATGACATTAAAACAGGAAGTCGAAGCAATTTATGTCAAGAACTTCCACTTCTACTCAAACTCCTCGTATCAGGACTAGCATCCTCATCATGACTCTGCGGCAGCAGAACATTAAACACACTCTCGCTCCACTCAGCAAAGGTGTCAGCATCCCACACATCATCAGCTGCACCCTTACCTTTTCTCGAAATCTTCGCTTTACCAGTCGCTGTCCCATTTGGCTTTCCCTTCCCACCAGCAGTAGCCTTACCTGCATACTCCTCAAAGAATGCTTCATAAGCCTGTACAACCTGATCTTCGACGGCCGCCACCAGCGTCTCTCGTGTGCGTAGATCATCAAGATACTGTTCCAGTTTGGCACGCAGGATGGGAACCTCCTTCTGTACCTTCTCCCGCACAGCTGCAGTTGCATCCTCAGCTTTTGCACCGGATCTCAGGTCCGACGCCATCGTCTTCGCGAAACCAGCAGTAAAGTCATTGATGACTGTACGTAGCTGCCCATCAAGCTCGACTTTAGCATCAAGCATGTTCTCAACCACGCGTGGTATCAGGCCACCACTGCTGAACAGATGTACCCACGACCGCGGGTTGAATAGACCGCCTCGATCGCGAAGCTCGTAGAATGTGCTCGTCATGCCGGAGAAATCGAACTGGACGTCTGGACTGACATACTCGATGTCGAAGGCCACAATTTGGGATTTCAGAAGGAGTAGGTGGCGAAGCAGGAATAGTTGTGCGTCGACTGGCGACGACTTCGCCGATATTTGGTTCGATGCGTTGACCAGAGAATGCGTGGTAGAGTGCACGATTTGATGTGCCAAGTCGTCGAAGACGGAGGAGTTGACGAGGCGATATATCCGTGAGAGGAGGTGAATCGCTCTTGGTAGTGTTGGATAGCATAGATCGAGAATGCGGTTGCGAGACCATGGGTTGGGTGCGCCTTCGTCGCCTGAATCATCCTCAGTCGCTGCTGCTATATTTGAGGTCTTGCGACCAGATAAGGGGGCTGCTGATTTCGGAGTTGGCGCTTCTGAGACTCGGCGTGGGTAGTCCAAGTCTTCGGGTGAGGGTTTGTAGTACTCGATCTCGTCCCTGAGAAGAGCCAACGTTCTGAAGACCAGGCGTGTTTGTGCGTCCTCTACTGCTGGTTGTATGAGACTAGCAAAATCAAGCTGGGTCGGGTCGGGGGCCTCGTCTTCATCGTCTGAGCTCAGATACCGTATCTGCAATAGTGTGACCAAGGAGCATAACTTGGACAGCTTTGTTTCGTGAATGATTCTTGGCCGCAACTGGTCAAACAGGGGTTCACACAGGGTCTCGAGTAAGTCGTAGACACCACGCTGGCCATGAAACCACTCTTCCCACAGCTCAAACTCATCCAAGCATACCCCACGGACATATGTAATGCTCGACCTCGCAAACGCGACAAGATCTTTCGAGGTCGGGGTTGTGGCGATCTCTGACACTTTCTGTTGGACAATGGGCAGCACGAGCCGAATCCTGCATGCCGCAAACGCTTGATGCAGCTCGTTCATGAGACTCTGATACTCGCCTTCTGTTCCAGGCTCTGCATCTGCGGGAGGCACGGCTCGTTTCTGAACCTCCAGACCTAGGTCCTTCATTAGGGGCGCATCCACACGAAACTTTGCGTACAGAAGGGAGGAGAGCAGCGTGTCGTTGACGCTCGTCTGCTTGTCTGATATCCTATTTCCAACCTCATCTGTCACGTCTCTCGCACCAGCCATGAAAGTGTTCCGTACCAAGGTCAGTGCTCTGGTCAGGAGCTGCTTGTACCTCGATCTGTACAATTCAGCCTCTCTCTGCTTCGGATGTGTCTGCATATAGTCTATGCATTCGTCCAGCGTAAGAAGCATATCCCGGAAATCCTGTGTTCTCACAAAATTGCCTGCTCCTGGAGCATTCATCCGCCTGGTAATGCGCTCGAGGGGTTCATAGTACTTGAGGTTTTCTGCAAGATCTGTAGCCAACTTGTCATTCTGACTCTGCTCCTCCAAGATGCTTGCGGACTTGGCTTGGAAGGCACTTGTTTGTTGGTCAACGGATCGAAATGCTTTCGAGATATCTGCCAACTGGTCTAGGGTCGCAGTTGTAGAAGCGAGTAGCTGGTCGAGGTGCGATTTGGCTGCGTCCAGCTCATCCAGGTACCGCTGATACTCATTGAGACTTG